GATCAGCAGAGCTGCTGTAAGTGCCGGTAATAATAGATTTTTATATAATAAAAAATATGTTTAACTTTTATTTACAGGTGCTGTGTATTCAATTCTATTTACAACATAGAATATCTATCATTTGTTAAAATCTTTTAACAGATTTTCAGACAGATATTTGTAAAAAAAAAAATTACAGCATGTTGAATAAATAAAAAATGTCTCCAATATTCACCTTTTTCTGACATGACTACAGAAACAGGGACTCGTTAACCTTCATTTTTCTGTTCAACTAAATCTGAAACTAAATCTGTTGTAGGTTGATTTAACTAGGACTTTTCTTGAACATCTGACTTAATGAAACCGAGATGTAAGATGACTAAAATCAGCAGAATGAGCGGCTGCTGCTTCTGTGGAGCTTCTTCATGCTATCTACTGGAACATCTGAGCTTCAGAAGAACTCACCAGTGACGTTCAGCCGACAGCTTTCAGAGCCAAAGCCCTGATCAGTCCTCACTTCACACAGATACCAGCCAGAGTCCTCAGTCCTGAGTCTGGACACATGGAGGCGGATTCCTCCTTCTCTGAGGGCCTCTCTGTCCATCTGGACTCGTCCTGAAAACTGCTCGCCCACAGACTCTTTCAGCTCATGACCAACATGGATGAGTTCAGTCAGGAATGAGATGTTGTATCCAGTTCTCATAATTCCAGTTATCAGCCCACAGTAGGCCATCAGGACCGTCCAGGGTCTGTGAGGGTCGGTGGTGAACGAGACTGGACTCTGGACCTCAGGAAGTGAAGATGGAAACTGACCACAGACACGTGGAGAGAGGATGAGGAGCAGCAGGGTCCAGCAGAGCGTCTTCATCCTCCAGTTCAACCACATCTGGCTGCTCGATCAGTTAAAATGTTTCACTGCCCGACAAAAAAAGAGTAAATATAAATGACATGAACCATAAATAACAACAATACAGTTGAAAAGACAGTCAGATATTTTCTACTCTTTGGATTTAATGAAAGCTGGTTTGGAGGCTAATTTGGACAACAAAGATTAAACATTTTGATATTTTCTTCAATCATAGATTTTGAGTTGTGTCATTTTTGACTGTGGTCAATCCAAATATTTATTTGAACGTTGGCACTGTTTTTTTGTATTTTTCTTTGCATTTTCTTTCTTTTTCAAGTATTTTTGTGTAGTTCCACCGTTTGACTCTTTAGCTTTTTTTTGTCTTTTTTTTACTTCTGTACCTCCTCCTAGCCACTGAATGCTGCCCTCCCTCATAAGATAAATGACCACAGTGGTGGAAAATATTGGAGCAACTTGCCCGTCTCTGTGGTCCAGTTGTCCAAAAGACTTCAGTGTCACTTCCTGATGTCACTTCCTCATTTGTGTAACGGGGTTGAGCTAAGGGACAGAAGTAATGGGATCTTTAATTAATATTTAATGATACATTTTGAAAATAAATAAATAACAGCAAAAGAGCATAGATAGATATTGAAATTGATGTAAAAATGTCATGACTTTTAAAATTGTTTTTGTTGGTATTTTCAAAGTAAACCATCATCATGGACATGAGGGACATCACAAAAGAGGGGGGTCAAATGAAAAAAAAGTTAATGTCTTATCAAAAAGAAACTATTCATTATACTGCATTAAAAAATGCATTTCATTGTATATTTGGAGCTGTTTAAATATACGGTTTAGTGACCCAATTAATGAAATGCACCTTAAGAGGTGAGAGGGAATCAAAATGTACCATTTCTGTGGAAAGACTCATATAATGTTGTGATGTGATTTTATGTTCAGACAGATTATCATAAATAAATGTTACTGAAAAGCCCCCAAAATCTAACAGTTTT